ATATATATGATATTTGTGAAATATATGAAATATATTAAAAATTGATGTGGGTACTCAAATGAAAGCTCTTGATGAGTGTAACATCGGGATGAGCTTACATCTTTAAAAATGTCAATAGTTAAAAAAGTACAGTGCAATTTGACAAAAAAATTATTTAATAAAGCAAAATTTTTATTTATTTATAGTTCACAACTCACGGCAGTCACATAGTGACTGCAAGGTTGCTAGTTTTACATATCATTTTATCGTTCCACCTGCTGTTGAACTAGTATCATCAGTCCTGCTTAAATTCGAAGTAAAATTAGCTTCAACCTTTAATAATTTCTTCAGAAAAATTTTTAGTTTTCTGAATTTCACCATTGACCACTGTATAAATTGTACATTTCGTAACATTTCGATCAGTTGTTGCAGATCCGTCTAAATTTTTTTCTTTCTACTCTAATTAGTCGGTTCAACAACTTTGGTATTGTCATTTCTATTATACTTTACATAAGTGCGATTGCTGGAAATTTCTTTGTCTTCAATATCTAATTCCACCACAGTAACGTCTTTAATTATAAACCCATCTTTCGAGCTTCTAATTGTAGTTCTTTTAGTTTTGCTACCGTTGCTATTCAAAACTATAACTTCATCAGTATCTTCCTCTGACCCATTGTTTAGTGTCTTAATATTACGAATGCTTTTAGTGAGTTTATTACTCGGTGCATACTTATAAGTACCTATGATTCTGATAGGTGGAAGTTCTGGAGGGAATTCAGTTATAGCATATATTTCAGTTTTAGAACCATCGAGTTCCATCACCGTTTTACTTAATTCAGTGACTTTTGTAGTGCCGTAAAAGAAGCTGCTTTCACTAATTTCATAAGCTACTCTTGTACCCGTACTATCGTAATATTTGGTGGTGTTCCGTTCATGATCTTTGGGTCTATATCCCGGAGGTACTACTGTTATTTTTGAATCTGGTGTCTTTGTTTCGGGATTTACTCCCTCTACTTCTATTTCTAGAGGATAGTAATCAGCACTTGTGAGTTCACCATTCAACTTTGTTGTAGTTACCTGTTCCCGAGTCCTTGTACCATTTGCATATGTTCTCCAAATCTTGAGATCAGTTGTTATAGATCCGTCTGAATTTTTGGTTGTATTAGTCGTTTGAACAGCTTTGGTGTTGTCACTTTTATTATCAATTGTATACGTCCAAAAGCTTATTAGTTCTTCGTCTTTAGAATCTAAATTGCTTACTTTGACATCCGTAATTGTTTTATCACCTTCTAAGATTGTAACATTACCTATTTGAGTTTTGCTTCCGTCGTCGTTTACAATTGTAACTTCATAAGTCTTTTCATTCAACCTACCCTGAGTTTTTATAGCATTATGAATGGTTTTAATGAGTTTATTATCTGGTCCATATTTATATTCATAGGTACCTGTTTTATTGACAAGTGGAAGTCCTTTCGGGAATTCATATTTTGCGTATACTTCTGTTTTAGAACCATCGGCTTCGGTTGTCGTCGTAGATATATCAATGATTTTTGTGGTGTCCCTAAAGAAAGTGATTTCACGATCTTCAGAAACTACTTTTGTACCCGTACTATCGTAATATTTGGTGATGTTCTGCACATGATCACCTTCGGGATTATGTACCGTGTACACTTCTTTTTCAAGTATCATTTTATTGTTATTCTTATTTTTATATTTAGTTACAATAAAATGATGTAAAATTCCATCTTGTATTGATGTTAGAACGGTATTAGCAATCTCTTTGTCGCCAACATATGTTAAATTCGTTCCACGGTCATTCCATCCCAGATCAGCTCCTGAAGCGTTAAATATCGCGACAATTAATAGAACAGTTTGTATCTGTAACAATTGAACCAAAAAAATTATTTGCCTTCAGAATTTTCGGTGATGCGCTAATTAATAAACTAAAAATGTTGACGTGTTTTTGGATATGTGGTTTAGTTGAAAAAAGTTTGACTTGTCAGGGTGTGAAAACAAAAGTAGGAATGAACTATTATAAGTCACCTAAATAATAAAAAAAATCTTAATTTATAATTTTGTTTTAAAAAATAAGACGTGCGGATCTTTAAATAATTGTTGAGAAAGTTTTATTAGTATATTGTTTTTAATTTAAATGTACAAATTACATTTTTTTTTTTTCAAAAGGAAGAAAAACAGTTTTGTTTGTTGTCGAAAAAAAACATTGTAATTCGTATAAAAATTTTATTAAGTTTGATTGAAATGAATTATTATATAATTAACAGAGAATTATACACCGCTGATAGTAAAATAAATAGTAAAACTTACGATAAATATTCCTTGAGCCATGTTTGTAAAATTAAATTGGTCTTTTTGTAGAATTCAATATCCAGACACGTTGACGAAAGAAGACACTGGTAGTTAAACTTTTAATCACAACTAATAATAACTATAGTTCTGTTATCAAGTTTTTATGAGTTCCAATTCCCAAATTGATATAAACCTATTAAGTGAGGCCTAATCAATTAATTGTAAATCTACGTTCTTTAAACTTCCTTGTATTCTTCCTTATCATAGGTTTTATAATAAAATTTCTAGGCCAGATTGTTGAAGAATGAAGGTCGACATAGTAAAATTAAAATAAAAATTTTTACTAGGTCCTGTTTTATCGGTTCTCTGATTCTCAAAAGGAACATGTAATGCGAAATTATAAATCTAGATTAAATAGTTAAACAATTTTCAGTTGATTGATTTGAAACTCGATTAATCTTTTATAAATTTCAAGTCTAAAGAATTCATACTTTAGGATTCGTAATCATTATTTTATTCGCGTCGATATTTACAATACATATTCCTAATTGATAAAATAAAATATTGGCCGAGTTAAAATTTTTTACCATCAATACTTTAGAACATTCTGGAATACACGAAATTTTAAGATCCTAATAACTTTACTTTAGACCTACGAGAGACATATTTAATAAGATAACTTGACCGAATTTTTAGAGTACATGAATTGACGTTCAATAATGAAAATATTCTTCAGAGAATTACATGCAGTATAAATATCATGCTTCTCAAATTAAAAATCTTTTTATTTAATAGTTTTAATTTAATTAAATAGTTATTATTACTAATTCTTAATAATAAAAATAATGATAATAATAAGAGTGATAGTCAATTTTATTTTTCCATTTACAATTTCTTCTTAAAAATAAATTATTTTAAAAGAAGACTTTCAAAATTAAGAGTGCAAGAATCATTATAAGTGCAAGTATAATAATTTTTAATTTAAATGATTAAGTGCTTCATTTTCTTTGTAATTTTTTGTAATTATTTTGCAATATAGTCACTTTGATAGGTTTTGATTAATTACTGTTGGACTGAAGTAATTGTTATTGCAGTTGAATCAGCTTTTCATGGAGGGTTCAGTCATATCGCGTGTGTCTGAATCAGATTCCCTTGAGTCTGAATCCGTATCATCTAGGTATGGATCTGTTACTGTTACTAAGTCTGGATCTTTTCCCTCCACTTCTATTTCTAAAGGATAGTAATCAGCACTTGTGAGTTCACCATTAAACTTTGTTGTAGTTACCTGTTCCCGAGTTCTTGTACCATTCGTATATGTTCTCCAAACCTTGCGATCAGTTGTTATAGATCTGTCTGAATTTTTGATTGTATTAGTCGTTTCTTTAACTTTGGTGTTGTTTTTATAATCAATTGTATATTCGCGTTTGCTTGAAAATTCTTCATCTTTAGAATCTAAATCGTTTACCCTGATATCCGTAATTATTTTATCACTTTCTTTGGTTATAACATGAGCTGTTTTTTTTTTGCTTCCGTCGGGGTTTACAACTGTAACTTCATAAGTCGTTTCAACCGACCCAACCTTTGTTTTTGTAGCGTTACGAGTGGTTTTTATGAGTTTATCATCTGATCCATATTCATATTTATATATACCGTCATCATTGATACTTGAATTTAGTCCAGCCGGGTATTCAATTCTAGAGTACATTTCAGTTTTAGAACCATCGTCTTCAAATATCGTCTTAGATTTATCAGAGATTTGTGTGGTGCCCGTATAAAAATTGACTTCATGAATTTCAATAAATATTTTTGTACCCGTAATATCGTAATATTTGGTGGTAATGTCTAAATGATCTCTGCCTTCTAATATTCCCTTGTACGTTTCTCTAACACATGTAACTTTACCGCTAGCCTTATCACTCCACTCAGTTATGACCCAAGAAGCTTCATTTCCATCTTTGTTTTGCTTTAGAATGGAAGTAGCAATCTTTTCGTCGGCAGTATATTGTACAATCGTTTTATCGAGATCCCATCCTCCATCGAGCTTACGTCCTGAAGCGTTAAATATGGCGACAATCAATAGAACAGTTGTAATCTGTAACAGTCCATACAAAAAAATGTTAGCTACGTTCAAAATTTCTGTTGACGTGCTATAATATACAAAATAAATTATAAAAGTTGACTCAATTTTTTTTCTTTGCTGTAAGAGGAACTGCGACTATAGAGAAATTTTGGAGAAAAATTTTTCCAGAATTATAGGAACAGTTTTAATAATTATGGAAATGTCTTACAATTTTTAAAAATTTGTTGCCCTTACAAAAGAAATTTTTCTTTTATTCAAAATACAATTATTAAATTGAATAAAAAATTAAATAGAAAGTTTGATCAGTATATAATAAAAAATGATTGAAACAATAAAAAATACTAATAATATTATTTTAATTACCATGAATGTTGATCCAGCCATGATGCTAAAGTTCAACACCGCCGTGATTATTTATTACACTCAAATAGACTTGAATATTTTAAGGAAAACTATAACTGACTACTGAATGTTAATCATCGTTTTTATATTGTTCGGTATCGCTATTACAAGGCTCTATTTTGAGTTCTTTAAAAAATATTTTTTTATTACGCAAATAATAAATACGTGCCGAGAAATAATTTAAGAAAATATTCCTTTGTTCTATTGTACATTGTTGATATTTTTTAGTAAAATGACCTTGTAAGGAAGTGAAGTATGAAAATTTTGCGTTTATTGGGTACCAAGCTGTACCAGGCAAGATTAGTAATTCGTAGAAGCGTCGAAGTTAAAAGTAAGACGCGTAGTGTACGTGTTAGAATTAATACATCTTTTTTTGATCTATCAGAATTTTTAAGGAAGTAAAATTAATTTCTGGAATAAAATTATCTGAAACACGTGGAAAAATTTTAATCACATAAATATCTATTTTTATAAAATAAAATTATTTATTTCTATAATAATATATCAACATTCAGATAGTTAATAAATAACCCAAAAATTTTTGATAAAATAAGCGTAATATTTTTCATGTTCATAATAATACTTAAAATAATGAATTAAGGCCTTGAGAAAAAATTTAAACTGAGTTTAAAAAATTTAAACTAAGAAAAAATTTTACATTAATTTAAAAAATTTTTAAATATGCATTTTTTAATTTTTTAACTAATAAAAACTATTTCAAGTTTTTTTTTTTTAATAAAAAAATTGCTTAGTTGATCTATAAGCTCTGATAATTTGGGCGATTTGGTCTGCGTTAAGGGTGCAAAGGACGTCCAGACCAGCGAAGGTCCTGAGCATGAACTTTCTAGACTCGTAATTATAGGTGACACTAGATGAGGCCCCCCAACTTTTAAAGACAATTTTTTTGAGTTATGCCCCTGTGAGAAATAATTAAAAATATTTCATATTAAATAAACTTATAAAATATTGTAAGTTATAAAATTGTATATTATAATAGAAAATGGCAATTTTTTTCATTAAAAAAAAAAAAAATAATTGAAAGCATAGTGGAATACAATTTATTTTTTATTCGTACTTGACTTTCATTTTTAAACTATTCGAATAATTTAAAAAATTCTGTTTTTAAAATAATAATTTAAAACAATCTATTTTTGTTATTTAGTTGTAAATGATAACTTACCATAATGACTTCGTCGAGTGTCTGGTAATAAAGAAGTTTAAAAACTTCCTTAATCTCATCAACGAGTTCTTCATGAACTATCGTTATTATAAGGCGAATAACGCTCTTAAAATCATTTTTTTGTTCGACGGGCAGAAAGCGTCAACTTTCGGCCCGCTGCGCTAAACGATGTTGCCCCTTTCTGCCTTCGTCGAGCAAAAAAATAGTATACACTCCACGGGAAGTAAATAAGAAAGCCTCAGTGTTTTGTCGAAAACTATCCAATGCGGATAATTCCCGTAATTGTTTTTAAAAATATGGTGAAGTTGGGATTAGGAAATTAAATAATAATACTTGGATTTTTTGGGGAACAATTTAGAAGAATTTATTTGTCCCCAAAGGAGGAAAACCCAGCTAGGCTGGGAAAAAAACCTCCTTGATGAAATTATACAAGTAAATTGTGTGTGTGTGTGTGTGTAATTTATACAAGTAAATTGTATGTGGTAAGTGTGAATGTGTAAAATTACGTTGCAATAACGCAATAGGGGTGAGCTCAGCCGCCTTAGATAGAAAATTATCGATAATTTGAATTAGATAAGTCCCAAGGTGGGAGCTGGTAATATCTAATTAATTTGAACTGTCTCAGAGTGAGAGCTATTAATGTTCAATTGTCTCTAGGTGAGAGCTAATAATATTCAATTGTCTCTAGGTGAGAGCTAATAATATTCAATTGATAACAGAATGTTAGTCAATTGAGTTTGATGTTTATCGTGTAGAAATTAGTCAGATGATTTGAAATTGAAATTTAATTATTTATAAGTTAAATTAAATAAGATCGTAATTAAATGTTAATAATTGATTTAATGTAATTAATTGTTAATATCACGCGTCAATTATGGATTGACTAAAGCCGCGTGGCTGATGCAATCCTTTGTTAACGGTGGCGCGTAATAGCCGCGTGACGTCACTAAATAAATTTACTTGATTTTATTTATTTATGTTAATTCACTGAACTATTAAACTGATTTAAATGAATTGAGAATTTAAAGTATAATTGAATCTACTATAATTATTTATATTTAATGAATAATTTAAATATTTGAATGAATATGAGATGCAAGTAAGAAATATCAGAATTGATTAGCACAGAGTAGTCGTACTAGTATAAAAGTCCAAGCACAACTGTTGCAGCAGACCACGCGAGCCGGCTTCTCTACCGCTAACCAAGGCGCGCATGCGCGACGGCCATAGCGTGATACGATTATTCCCGAGTTCATACGATTATTCTCGAGTTTTAACGATTAAGCCCGAAGGCGTAATTTCTCTTATAAGTATTTGACTAGATCTCTTTTCTAGCGGTTAAACACTCAGACCACATGTTTGTTGACCTCGGCTTCGCCTCGGCCAACAATTACATGTGATCTGAGACATTTCTTACTTTATTTCCCTAGGTGTGTAATATACTATTCCGATGAACCGTCTTAAAGAGATTCGAGCAAATTTATTGTAAAAAATAATTTTCAACTTTGAGCTTTGAAATTAATCATACGTATAAATAAATATGTCATTTATTTAATCTCAAAATTTTAAAAAGATTCACCGTTTAGTTATTTAGATATTAAATTTTAAAAATCACATATTTTATCTTTTTATACACGGGCTTTTATGGCGTACAAACTTTTGTCAAGACTTTAATTATTTTTTTTCAATATTAACCTCTCAACTTTAATGGATAAAAAACTATACACAAGAAACTTGGATTATTGCTAAATACGAAAACAATTTAATAATAATACTGTAAAATTCTGAAAGAGCGGAAAAGCGGGGATCAGGTTTAGATCTGGATACCTCAATTAAAATACGTAAATTATTAACAAAAATAACACTAGCGATTTATTTATAATAAATACACTTAATATTTAATATGTTCAATAGCGGATTGCTTAGATAAAAGCGGATTTATAATACACAGCGTGGTTAGCAAAAGCGAAGCCGGTTGACACGTGGTTGAACACTCTGCCGGCACTGTGAAAGCGGTGAATTAAATGCACAAATAACACAATTTATCTGTAACAAACTAAAGCGAATTATTAGCAATTAATTTAAGCAAGTTATATTATTAAATTACCGAAATGCGGTTAATTAACAATAAGCGAAATAAAATAGCGGGAAAGCGAAGCGTTAGACTTAATGGCGGTGTAACGAAAGATAATAATAATAATTCGTCTTCTTACTGGTGGACTTGGGGAAGAAGGCTATTGCGCATGTCTAGCAAGAGCGATCAGCCAATCAAGCGGTCGATCCATGGCGTGATTATCCCTGCCAAGCTTTGCGCAGGCGGTTAGTTTTTGCGGGAACTAGCGGTTGCAGGTGAGGCTCTTGAAATTGAGAGTCCCCCAGGAGCGACTTCATCGCTACTGGGCCTTGTTCACCGAACAAATACATTGCCGATATAATTTTTGAAATTTTTGAAGTTAAATTTTATGTTTGTAACTCGTTTATCGTCAGTTATTTATTTGAATAAAGATTTGACAACATCGCGTCAACAGCTGAGAAAAAAGAAAAAGATAGAAATATAGTTACTAGTTTGCTATTGCCAAATCTGTTCATTAATTTCGGCAAGTAATTTAATTACTTTACTGTATTAAATAGGTAAAAATCACCAATTTTTAAATTGTTTAAATTATTTTAAATTAAAATAAAGAATTTTGACAAATATTAGAAAGACTGAAATTAAAAAAAAATCTTAACATTATTTTGACTCATTAGTTGCGCTTAAACTTTCTTAAAAATAACCAGTAGAATATACTTTTTATTAAAATATTTTATTTACACAACAAATCACATGATTATTTCTTATTTAAATCTCATTAATTTCACTCCCCCCTCTCCCACCCTAACTGATACTTATTTAAGCCCCACCTTTTGAAACCCAACTACAATCTTTCCAACTGCACCCAAAATCCTCCAACAACAGCGGTCAAAAAGTACCTAGGATCCACTTGGACCGGTTCAACCATTTTCGTCGAAGGTTTGATAACATAATTTTTCAAAATAGTCGCAATGGCAGCTTTGATCTGCAAAAAACCCATCCTCATTCCCGGACAGATACGCGGACCTTCTCCAAAAGCCAAAAAAGCAAACTTACGCTTTTTTTCTGGAGAATCTTTAGCAAAGCGGTCTGGGTTGAATTCGTCCGGGTTCTCCCAAATCTCCGGGTCCCTGTGGATGCCCGAAACCGAAATGAGAACTTCATCCCCAGGTTTCAAGGCACAAGAGAGACCATCGGGTCCTTGAAGTGTGATAGCTTTCGAACAAATCTTGCTGAATCTCCCAACGGGGCTGAACAGCCTCATAGTCTCGCGGAAAATTTGCTCCAAGAAGATCATCTCGCTGACTGATTCGTAGCTAATTCCTCCATGCTGTTCAATTTGTTTAACCACTTCCTCACGAGCCCTGTCCTGGACATCTGGGTGTTTTGAGAGCAAATAAGCCGCGGCACTGAGGGTCAAACTGGAGGACTCGTAGCTTTCGATGAAGAACGAAAATGCGCTGGGCGCCACAAGATCTGCTCCGTCTGAAGCTGAAGATCCTCCTTCATAATCAATGATGTGTTGCAGCAAGTCTTCCCGCTTCAAGGACTGATGCTTCCTCATTGCGCGAATGTCCGCGACCATTTTCGCGAAGGTTTCATTGACCCAAGCAGGAACGAAGCCGACCTTGAACATTTTGCTCATGAACGGCAGCAAGAAAACGATGTTCTGTCTGATTGCCGCCAACGTGTTGATTTCCAAAATGGAATTCATCATCGCTCGGAGTGATTCTGGAGGATCAGTACCAACAAATGCGTTTCCGTCGACACCCAGGATCGCATTGGCGCCCACTTGGGCGGTAAATTTTGAAAACAACACTTTAACGTCGAGTTCTACGGATTTTCCATCCTCACTATTGAAATTTTGATCAATAAACTTAACAAAGTTGTCGCTCTCATACTTTGCCACCGTTCCGATGAATTTGAGTTTTTTGGAGGAAAAAGCACTAGTGAAGATCCCGCGAATGCGCTTCCATGCTTCACCATTAACGAAAAACGGATCCAACCCCAGTAAGGGGTCAGAATCCAAATCTAGCGGCCTGTGATCGCTGAAACTCGAGAATTCCATCTGTAGTACTGTTTTCACGAGTTCCAAATCTCTGATCAGGAGAACTGGTTGGTTCTTGTCGAAAATTCCGACCATGCTGGCGGTGGAAGAGGCGTAAATCTCGTGCAGCTTGATAGGCATATTTTTCTTGAGGGCAAACACACTCAGCATGTGTCCAAATCCCGGCAATACTCCATCGGCAGTTGGAATCCCGCGGTTTTTCCAATACGCGAAATTGCGTGTTAGATATTTGTATGTGAGGATCAAAATTATAATAGCACTTATGATGTAATTAAAGCAAGACATTGTAATGAGGATTTTGTTAACTGCGCACTTTGATTATATAAACTTATATAAGACGGATATTATAGAAGCTTGCTGGTTGTCAGGCAACTGAACTATCTAGGCTGTTGTTAAACATTTGACCTTGTTATCGCACTCACGCTGCATGACGGTATAAAGTAACTGGTGTTTATTGCGATTTAATATGACGACAGCAATGATGATTGATATTTACTGATCACTTGAGGTAGTTAACTCATCGTTTAGATTATTTTTTATTTATTATATGAAAAGTATAATAAATTTTATTATATAGATAGATTTAAAAAAATTTTTGAATTTTTTTTTAAATAACTTTTGAGCTAATATACGGATCACTTGTTAGATCTTATCAGCTTTTAATATATAAAAAAAAAAACAAGGTCAGTTGCTGCAAATCGCATCAACATCAGTTTATCTAATCAAGATATGTCTAAAAATTAAAAAAAAAATACATTTTTTTTCAAACTAATTTTAAAATTTATTGTAAGAATGATTTTTATGATTTAAGTATTTTTTATTATTGAAAAAATGCATTATATACCGTAAGATTTATTTTATTTAATAAAAAATTGAAAAAAATCATACATACACATATTGGGTCATCAGAAAATTTTTTTCACAAGTAATTATAATATATTTTTTATATTTACATACATGCAGATGTTGTAGATCTTTTTAAGGAGATCCAAGTACCCTCCTAGTGTAAAGAATGTCTACAAAAAAATAATACGTAGAAATTTTTTTGTTATGCATCTTAAAATTAATTAATAACATTTTTGAGGAAATTTCCGAAAAATTTACTCATTAAATAATTATAAGCATTTAATTGACTGATAAAAAATCATTATACTCTTTTCTAAAAATTTTTCCTGTACATTATTATTTAACATTATCAACCTTCTAAAGAATCATAACAAGAGTCAAGGTCTTAGGTCCAAAACACACGCCAACAAAAAAATTAACTAGCACATTCCATAACCAATTCACAAATGTTCAAATTTAACCCAAAAGCCTCCAACAACAGTATTCAAAAAATATCTCGGATCAATTTCGACAGGCTCTACCATTTTCTCCGACGGCTTGATAACGTAGTTTATCAAAATAGTCGCAATGGCAGCTTTCACCTGGGTAATACCCATTCTCTTGCCCGGACACATACGTGGCCCATCCCCAAACGCCAGAAAGGCAAACTTGCGCATCCTTTCATCGGAATCTTTCTTAAATCTTTCAGGATTGAACTCATCCGGGTTGCTCCAAATCTCGGGATCTCTGTGAATTCCCGCTGCTGAAACACAAACATAGTCTCCGGAATTCAGCGTGCACCTCAATCCATCAGATCCCTCAAGAGTGATCTCTTTTGAGCAAACTTTCTGGAGTTTTCCCAGAGGCGGAAAGAGCCTCAAAGTTTCCAAAATAACCATTTCCACATAATTCATTTCATTGACCGCATCGTAGCAGATCTCTCCATACTTTTCCACCAATTCTTGCACTTCCTTACGCATCTTTTCTTGAACCTCCAGATGCTTCGAAATCAAGTAAGCCATCGCACTCAAGGTCATGCTGGAAGTCTCGTAGCCTTCAATGAAAAACGAGAAAGCGTGAGCAGCAACGATGTCTCCGTATTTGTTACCATTATTAACTTCATACTCAATAATATGCTGCAGAAAATCTTCGCGAGTGATCGACTGGTTTTTTCTGACCTGGCGAATTTCGTCAGTAGTTTTCGTGAACGCATCATAGACCCAAGAGGGTCCGAAACCTACTTTTAGTACTTTGGTCAAAAACGGAACCGACAAGATGATGTTTTGTCTGATAGCGCTCGAAACTTTCACTTCAAAAATTGCGTCCATCATCTTCCGAAATGATTCAGGCGGGTCGACGTCTACTAGTGCGTTACCGTCCACACCGAATATCACATTGGCCACCACCTGAGTTGTGAACTTGGAAAACATAATTTTGGCGTTAACGTCAGTTCCACTATCACCATTTTCATCAAATTTTCCGTTGATGAACTTAACCAGCTTTTCGCACTCATCTCTGGCCACTGTTGCGATGAATTTCAATTTCTTGGACGAAAACGCGCTTGTAAACACCCCGCGAGTGTGCTTCCAGGTTTCGCCGTTTGCGAAAAAGGGATCCATGGCTAACAAGGGATCTGCTGCGGGATCCAGAGGCGGATGTTCACTGAAACTGTTGAACTCTGCCAGCATCACCGTTTTCACTAGTTCCAGGTTTCTGACCAACAGAACCGGCTTCTCCATGTCCAGGAATCCCACCATGCTTGCTTTGGAAGCTTTGTAGATTTCGTGCAGCTTTGTTGAGGCATTCTTTCTGAGTACAAACACTTCCAGCATGTGGCCGAAAGCTGGAAGCGCTCCTAAAATTGTAGGGATTCCGCGGTCTTTCCAATAATTGTGATTGCGTGTGAGGTATTTATAAGTTATGATCAAGATTAAGGCCAAAGTTATCAGACAGTTCACTGTCCAAGTCATGGTTGAGGATTGTCAGAAAGTGTGTGTTTCACTGTAATGCAGTTTTGCAACTGACGTTTTGTTGGAAGGAGTTTGTAATCTTGCGCTGTTGCGTCACTCGATTGCGTGCGTGGAAATATTAATAATATAGTTTATAAGTTCGTTCTGTTTTATATGATTAGTGTTATCTTTGAATGTCAGCAGAAGTGAGTTAAGGATTCTTGAGGATTCGTTGATGGTTAAGTAATTTATTTGATCGAATTGCGTAAAAGTAATTTAAAAAAAATCTCTGGTGCATTTAATCGCAAATCAGATATTTTATTACTTTCAAAATTTTATGATTTTATTAAGAATTGTCCAAATGGCAATTTTTATTTTTAAACGGACTTACTGAAAAAAAAAAAAAAAAAAAAAAATAAATAAATCAGAGATTTATTATATTTTTTTTCTGACTTTTTTGGGAAAAATTTTTCAATAAATTTTTTTTTGGCTTTAATCTTAAAATAGTTTTTCAACCGTAAAAAATAGCTTAAATATATTAAATACATCTTTAAGCTTAAACAATTGTTCTTATATTAAACTAATTATTCAACAAAATGTTTAATAAATTTTTAAATGTATTTCGTGATTTAGAAAATTAAAAAAAAATTTTCAATGAATATATTTTGAGCTCTTTAATAAGTCATACTTTATATACATAAAATATGAAAATAAATATAATTAAATCGATATCATTAAACCTAAAATAAGTACTAATATACACATATTTTTTTCTCAGAGTAACACTATTCCTCCGAATATCACAGCATCATCACCATCTTTTCCCTTCAACTATCTTATTTTTCTCCCTACCCACCGACTGTTTTCCAGTGCTCACTTCCAAGCTTCCAAGCTTGCAATTGAGCTTCTCATGGAAGACCGAGAGTGGCTGCACAGAAGGCAGTAGGGTGAATCCCAAGTCTGCCTCTGAGAATAATGTTAATGAAATACAGATAAGATCTCTATACAAGAACCCGTAGTGAATGTCCGCTGGGTAACTTTTGTCCTCCTTATATTTACTTCACGCTTACTTAAGCTTGTACTTATTATTCCTTTCACCCTTTCGCTTCTTTTCGCCCCTAAGTAGCCAACCACAGTCAACTACTTCCTCTAATCATTGATGCGAATGTGATTTTCGGGCAATTAATGATAGTTTTATTTAAACATCATTAACAGTGGACAATTATTGAAGTGAAATTTTTCGGAAAAATTTAATTACTTACAAACTTAATTGTTCAAAGTATTTATAAATAATTTTGCAAATAAAACTTCAGCTAATTTAAATTTTATTTTCATGAAAAAATTTTTTTTCATTAAAATAAAAAAAAAAAACAGATCAGATTTTTTAATTCACTTTTTGCTTCTAAACCAAGCAGGATCTGGAGCATATTTATAAATAAGGCATGAAGCGGAATAAAAATTTAATCGAGAGAAAAAACAAAAAGGTGGTATATAATAGGAATATAGAAGTAGAACTTTTTTGTATTCACTTGAGACTTGTCTTGCAGAGAACCGTGGCAGGTTATAGCCTGAACATCCTTCTCAACTCGCCGAGGAGGACCTTCAAAGTATTTTCCTGGCACACACCCTCGTATTTCAAATTTTATCGCTCGAAAATGTTAAGCCGACCTTTACTGTTTTCTAGTCGAGTCTACACTTTTTTTATTGTCACTCTACCCAGCCGGTCTGATAGTTTTTTTTTTCTTTCTATCTAAAAACTCTAAATCATTTTTTATTTTGAAATTTATTGATTAAATTATTGATTTTTAGTGGATAATTTTATTTCAGTTTCAAGTTGATAGCATTTCGGTGGAAGACAATTTCTGGGATCATTGTACCCCTGATGCGAAAGCTCTTCGGTACAGTAAACTATACGCGTGGGGAGAGGAAGAGCCAAGGGGGTTGTTCCGGTTTCTGGGCGCAGAAACTACCCTCATTGACTCTGACTATGACACTTTCGCTCTCACTCTTATCCATTTCCTTGTTCTCCATAGAAATGGGATAGAGTCCTATTATAGGACTCGTAGAGAAGGGGGGGCCTGAGATTCTAGAGACCGAGCTTGCCTCTTGCCACTCGGGTTGTCGCATTGTTACCAACGACCCCGGAGATACAAATGCCTCTGCGGTTGGCGTTTACGACGCCGCCTCGAGTTAAGATATCTTCTTACCTCAATATCCTGTTAACGTACCGACTAAAGAATCATCTTGTTGCCAGACGAAAAACTTCCGACCAGACATACGTGGATTATTTTTATTTTTTATCATTATTATTATTATTATTATTATTGGTAATGATGAATAAAAAGCTGGTGTAATCTTGACGGATGATTTTTTATGTCACATAGATTTTAAAACGCAGACGGAAAAAATCCGGATGGTAAATAGAATAAGCTTGAGGTTAATTTACGACTTTACATCAGAGATATATATTTTAAAAATGTCAAGGCTAGTTATAGTTAATCTGATTTTATTGTTTGGATTGTTAAAAGGCTTTTTTTAATTTCCTGCTGTAAAATTTAATGATTTTCAAATCATTAAATATTGGGACATATATCCTCATTTAACCGTGTATACTGGGTAGTTAAAAATATTTCTTAGTATTTAAAAATATTTAATAAATGAACGTCAGATTTATTAAATACAAATAAATCATTTTAAATACTAAGAAATATTTTTTTAATATTAAAAAGTGGTCTCTAATAAATGATTTGTTAAATATTAACAAATATTTTTTGATCCAAATAAATCCTTCTATTAGTATACAAAAAAAAAAAATTCTTGAATTATGGGGGAATTTTCTTGGCGCAAAAAATTCATTTTTTTGTCCATGTACTGAAAAAAAAAAAATTGATTTGAATTAAGAGAAATATTCTTGAACCAAGAATTTAATTTTGAAGTTTCATTGTCTTGAATAAAAAAAAAAATTTCTTGAATTAAGAAAAATTTACTTAAATCAAGAAAAATTCCTTAGCTTAAGAATTTTTCTACTTAAATCAAAAAGATGTTCTTCGAAATTATTTACTTGATTAAAATAAATTTTTTTTCTTTGTGCCCTGATATATACGGTTGCTTCATTGGAAACAACAATTTTTATCTCGGCGACACTATAAAATATTCTTTTACATATCAAAAAAAAATTCTCTTAAAATTTAGCTCTTGATTTTAATTTTAAGTACTTTCACATTTAATTTTTTTTATTTAAAAAGCATGAATTTCAAATTTTGACAAATTTGCCTGGTTTTTAACTTCCATATCAATAAATATGATTATTTAGAAGAAATTTAACTTTTTTTTAAAACAACTTCTAAACATTTTACTCTAAATTATCTTATATGAATTTTACCATTTGTAAAAATCATTTTGTTTTCATATTTTTGAAGATATTGTGAGAATAAGTTGTTTTACCAAAAAACATGTCAATAAATAATTTATAGAAAATTTGATTTCCTACAAAATCAATTTCTATATTTAAAATGCTTAGTTTAGAAGATATAGTCAGTCAAATATTTAAAAATATTTCAAATTTTCTATTATTGTTTTATAAATTAATTTTAAAAAATTATAAAGGTCTAAAATATTTTATAAAGCTAAAAAAAATTGATCTAGAAAATTTTTATCGAGAATTATTATTTGGTAATAAAATTTCATGGGGCAATATATATCGTACCTTAGCATTGAGCTTGTTTGGCAATAATAGAAAAAAAAAAAATAAAAAAATTTTTTGAATCTCTGAGCTCGTAACCAAACACACTCTCATTATTTAACTTTCAACCCCTTGCGCTCATGCCTGGTATCAGCCCTCTTCTCTTTGGGCGTTGGTATCGTTATGGAATAACAACGAATTATTGTTACGAGGAAAAACGGGCCGGGATTTAGGCTTCGACAACTCATCGACAATCTACTAATCTCCCGATATATTTTCTCGGATTTTTGCCACCCGGCTTTATCGACACTGAAATCCCCTCAGAAATTTATAAAATTTCATATTTTTGCTTTGCGACCCGTAGATAAGTAAATAATGAAATAATAGTAGCTGGAAAGCGACAATAGATAACATGATATTTGAATATAAATATAAATATTAATTGACTTGTTAAAATGAACTATTTGGTGATGTATGCATATAAATATAATGTCACCGGATATTCACGGCAGAATGTGTGCACCTGATACTCAACCAAATTGACGCAGTAATCCCTCGTAACTCAGGATTATCAAAGTTCGACGTGCTCAAATAAACGCGTACGTCCTCAGGATTAAAATCGTTTATATTTAAACAAACTGATATGTATTTTGCGCCAATAAATGTCCTAATTCATGATAAGCAAATAAAATCCCTATAAATTACTGTAAATTATAGTTAATTGTCAGGTTTTAATTCAACAGATGCCAGATCAAATTTATTTGATTTTTTTTTATCAATAATTTTAATTTAAAGTAGAAATTTTGAATTTTAACAATTTTTTTTACTGAATTAATAATTGTTTAAAATTAAATAAAGAATTTTTTTTTGGTTGTATACTAAAAAATTTGACATATAACATATTGTTAAATTATTTCACCATTGGCACAATTAATCTTTTGAGTGATAAACAATCAAATTGAAATTCATTTTTTGTCAGTGAGTTATTTCACACTATAAAAATAAATATCCACACTATTAACAGTGATGGTAAACTTTACAGAGAGGGTGAGAAAGATTCTTAGCGGAAAAAATCTCCCTCAAAGCTTTATCTACCTCTGCATCGCCATTCAGCGTGGACTCGGCGATGAGACAAGACTTACACTCAATCAGGGGAACAAAACACAAAGATTTTTCTAGGCTTTTACGTGCTGTTTATGATTAATACTCTTAGAAGCAGGCTACAAAAGAGTAGAGGTCCATGCTCGAAATATATATACTTATATATAGCAAATCCCCGTCAACCACATTCAATTACGATGTTATCGCGAATATAGATGACGGTTATTTCCTTGGGTACACCCTATATATAATGGCATCTCCTGCGCAAAGTCTCTCGGTGTGTAATACGGTTCACTGCGATTGTTTCGGTATTTAATCAGTCTTGCTAACTAATACAGTATCTGTT